AGGGCCGGGTGAGGAGGACGGCTACGAGGACGCTGGAGGGCCGGGTGAGGAGGACGGCTACGAGGACGCTGGAGGGCCGGGTGAGGAGGACGGCTTCGAGGACGCTGGAGGGCCGGGTGAGGTGGACGGGTACGAGGACGCTCGAGGGCCAGGTGAGGAGGACGGCTGCGACCACCTGGAGAGCCAGGGGAGGAGGACTGCTAGCACGACGCTGGAGGGCCAGGTGAGGAGGACGGCGATGATCACGCTGGAGGGCCGGGTGAGGAGGACGGCTACGAGGACGCTGGAGGGCCAGGTGAGCAGGACGGCTACGTGGATGCTCGAGGGCCAGGTGAGGAGGACGGCTACGAGGACGCTGGAGGGCCGGGTGAGGAGGACGGCTAGGAGGACGCTCGAGGGCCAGGTGAGGAGGACGGCTACGTGGATGCTCGAGGGCCAGTTGAGGAGGACGGCTAGAAGGACGCTCGAGGGCTAGGTGAGGAGGACGGCTACGAGGACGCTCGAGGGCCAAGTGAGGAGGACGCCTACAAGGACGCTGGAGTGCTGGATGAGGAGGATGGTTATGAGGACGCTGGAGGGCCAGGTAAGGAAGACGGCTAGGATCACGCTGGAGGTCCAGGTGAGGAGGACTGCTAGGACCACGCTCCAGGGTCGGGTGAGGAGGCGGCTATGAGGACGCTCGAGGGCCAGCTGAGGAGGACGGCTAGGAGGACGCCTGAGGGCCAGGTGAGGATTACAGCTAGGAGGATGTTGGAGGGGCAGGTGAGGAGGACGGCTACGAAGACGCTGGAGGGCCGGGTGAGGAGGACGGCTAAGACCACGCTGGAGGGCCAGGTGAGGAGGACGGCTACGAGGACGCTTGACGGCCAGGTGAGGAGGACGGCTACGAGGACGCTGGAAGGCCAGGTGAGGAGGACGGCTATGAGGACGCTGGAGGGCCAGGTGAGGAGGACGGCTACAACGACGCTGGAGGGCCGGGTGAGGAGGCGGCTATGAGGACGCTCGAAGGCCATCTGAGGAGGACGGCTAAGAGGACACTGGAGGGCCAGGTGAGGAGGACGGCTAGGATGACACTTGAGGTCCGGGTGAGGAGGACGGCTAGGAGGATGCTCGAGGGCCGGGTGAGGAGGACGGCTACGAGGATGCTGGAAGGCCGGGTGAGGACGAGGCTATAAGGACGCTCGAGGGCCAGGTAAGGAGGACGGCTAGGAGGACGCTCGAGGGCCAGATGAGGAGGACTTCTACGAGGACGCTCGAGGACCAGGTGAGGAGGACGGCTACGAGGACGCTGGAGGGCCGAGTGAGGAGGACGGCTATGAGGACGCTGGAGGGCCGGGTGAGGAGGACGGCTACGAGGACGCTGGAGGGCCAGGTGAGGAGGACGGCTACGAGGACACTCGAGGGCCAGGTTAGGAGGACGGCTACGAGGACGGTGGAGGGCTAGGTGAGGAGGACGGCTAGGAGGACGCTTGACGGCCAGGTGAGGAGGACGGCTAGGAGGACGCTGGAGAGCCAGGTGATGAGGATGGCTACGAGGGCGCTGGAGGGCCAGGTGAGGAGGACGGGTACGAGGACCCTCGAGGGCCAGGTGAGGAGGACGGCTGCGACCACGCTGGAGAGCCAGGTGAGGAGGACGGCTACGAAGACGATGGAGGGCCGGGTGAGGACTGCTACGAGGACGCTGGAGGGCTGGGTGAGGAGGACGGCTACGAAGAAGCTGGAGGGCCAGGTGAGGAGGACGGCTACGAGGACGCTGGAGGGCCGGGTGACAAGAATGCTATGAGGACGCTCGATGGCAGCTGAGGAGGATTTCTAGGAGGACGCTTGAGGGCCAGGTGAGGAGGATGGCTACGAGGACGCTGGAGGGCAGGGTGAGGAGGACGGCTAGGAGGACTCTGGAGGGCCAGGTGCGGAGGACGGCTACGAGGGCGCTGGAGGGCGAGGTGAGGAGGACGGCTAGGAGGACTCTGGAGGGCCAGGTGAGGAGGATGGCTAGGAGGACGCTCGAGGGCCAGTTGAGGAGGACGGCTAGGAGGACGCTGGAGGGCCAGGTGAGGAGGACGGCGACGATCACGCTGGAGGGCCGGGTGAGGAGGACGGCTACGAGGACGATGGAGGGCCATTTGAGGAGGACGGCTACGAGGACGCTGGAGGGCCAGGT